TTTATTTCATGAGAAACAAAAAATTTTATTAATGATAAAGAATACAACAAGCCACAAGTAATAGCTTTACAAAAGTAACAGTCTAAACTAGCAATGCATTAAAACAAAGCTCATCAACTTCGATTACTGAAAGAAAGGAGAGAGAGAGAGAGAGAGAGAGAGAGAGAGAGAGAGAAGAGCAGACAAAATATGAATTGATCAGTCCTGATGTAAGATATAGGAGAACAATGAAATTTCATTGTCAAGTATATAGAAACAACTTTTCAATGCATTATATGGATGATCAATTCATGATATATTCACAAGAATTTATCATTCCTTGCAACTACATACTTTTCTATTATTAGTGAACATCGATTTTCTAAAATTTTCTTCATATATTTCATGACAAAATATCCACACTCCGTGTTTGTTGGCTGGTGAGGGCACTATAAAAATAAACATCCACATTGATAAGGAGACTAAATCTTCTCAATTAAACAGAGCTTAAACATAAAAATTAATTTTTGTATACCTTAAGTGCTTTCCAAATAGGAGCTTTCTTCCCCTTCCTCTTCTTGAACACATTGAATTTTTTCAGCGTATTTGACAAAAGAAAATATAAATATTTTCTTTAGAGAAAGAACCTAAGCATAACTAAAATTAAGAGCATCGGAAATTAAGAGCAGTGCCTATGATGCCAAGTACAACATCAAACAGATGAGACAGATAAATTTTCCATGTATTGTAAAGGGTCAATGATTGTTGTGCATTAATTCCTAAAAATTGTGCATTAATTTTAGAATGTAAAACATAAATAAAAATATAAATTTTTGACCCATCCCGGCTCCAGGGCGCCCTACTTTGCGGGCCGGGGGATTTTTGCCTATGCAAAATTTTAGTATTTTTTTACGTCTTTTTTATTTTATTTTATTTTTCAAAAACGAAAAATAGAGAAAATCAATCCAGTGATTCCTAAATTTCAAGCATACCAAGCACATCAATTTTATAAAATATTTCATAGAATCATTCAACCTAATCCTAACATTTCAGTTTAGTTTTAGAAAACTCACCTTGAATTGTAAGGGGCAGAAATTAATTGGTTCACCATAGACTCATTCAGCCAAGTAAAGCATTTTCCCTTTGATTAAACCTAAAACCCTCCGCAGAGATGAGTGCAGGATCCAAAAAAACGAATCAGGTCCAACATATTTGAATCCTCCAAGACCATATAAAGGTGCCTGTAAAGTAGAGCACGGATTTTTAGTTTTGCTTGACTTGTACATATTCTATATATCGTAGTTTTGCTTGATTTTCTTTTTCTGAATCAGTCCATATATACAACAACTTGACAAAGATTTATTCTTTCAATCCATTTTAGTATTGTTATGCATAGGCTTGGAATTGGTTATTAAGCTTACTTCTTATCTTTTGATAACAAACCTCCTATTCTCTTAACATTGGTAGATAAAAAAGATCAGTTTCTTTACTATTCTCTTGTGATATTAGCTTTGGATTTTAATGGTTTCAAATAAATTAAAAGACTTATCTTAGCAACAGATAAAGAGAAGTAGTATAGTAAGAATTAAGACTAAGGTGATCATTACAGCACTAGAGGAATATTCCTGTCTTTAGCTATTAGAGAAACCAAATTTGTTCATTTATTCACTTTGAAAATTATAATTTCCCATAAATAAATACCAAATTTTATCTGATTAGAGTTGTATTGAAATTATAATAGTTACCTCATCTATACTACAATACACGAACATGGTATTGCACGAAGTCCATAGAAAAACTTTATATCATCTTGTAAATCCTAAACATGCTTGAAATGTATAACATTGAGTTGCATTTTTTTCTCTTGTATCCAAAGGAAGGAATGTTGCCGAGTTTTAGGTCCTGCTACTTGGTACCTTTTGCAAAATGGTGGAGTTTTAACCGAGAGTAATGTAAAATTAGAGACTTCATATAGATCGCGGAGCCACACATATTTATGTCCCATAGTTCATGGAGCATGCTGATACAAGTGATGTTCTATGTACATGTTAATTATTATTAGGCTGGATATTGGGTGGGTTTTACAACCGGCAAAGATAATTAGTTTGGCCAGTTTGATTTCAAATTTGTCCTATTTAAACATTAAAGAAAACGAATTCAACAGTCCACCATGGTAAATTTCGGGTTGAGTTGGGTGAGTTAGACTCATAGAAAATTGAATCTAAAAACCAGCTTAATTTATCCATTCATAATGTAAAAGTTAAAATATGTCTCATTGGGTATGCAAAAAAAAAGTTACACATACCTGATTTATTCAGATGCCGGACTTAATACATTCCTATATATAAATAAATATATATATATCTACCATATTAATTTTGTATTTCAAAAAAAAAAATATCGGGTTTGGAAGATAGCATAGAATATTAAGAATATATATATATATATTTTATAGTAATCACTAGTTAAGAATTTGGGCCTCGTCTTCAATTTATTAGTTCATGATCTGCACTGTTGTCTGTTCTCATTCGACGGCTTATCATAAGGATTCTTTTGTAAATTTCTAGACTACGTGTTGACTTGGCTATAAGGGCCGTTTGAGAGAACTTGTGTTTTTACTTTTAAGTAGTAAAAGAAGAGAAATAAAAGTCTGTATTTTGATATACTACATGAATTAAAAAGAGTTTTTTTTTTATATAAACTTATTTAGATAAATAAGTCAAAATCACTTATTGTTTTAAAAAATAATGTAATACAATGATATGCTTGGAATATCTGATTTGTTGTTCATAAACAAATGGTTAAAAGTGTAAATAAAAAAGCTTTTTGTAAGCTCTTTTTTCATAAACGCCAAGTAAGTGTCTTGTTCTAAAAGAGCATATAAAAACCGAAAACACTTTAAAGGTGTCGATTCAAACACGCTCAAAACCAGCTTTCAAACCAAATAAACTAAAAGCAGTTTTTTTTTAAGCCAATTCAAATAGGTTCTAAGATTGTTGCTATCACTGGTATTTCTCTGGAGCATCCACGTAATATGAAGGCTACTGTGCCGAAATTCCACAAAAATGGTAACTGGTGTATTCCTGTTTGTTTTCAAAAGGCTTTTCCTAACCAGCAAAAAAAAGGGGGCTTTTCCTGAATTACGAATAATGTAGTTTGCTCGATGCATGGTGATAAACTTGTCTGGTGTCATGTAGTTCTTTCTTTAATCATCTTTATGTGCATGTTGGCACTCCGGCTTGTTGGGCCAAGTATATTTGGTCCTAGATTATTTCTCCTCACTTTTAGAGGTGCCAACCTAAAACTAGGATGTTTTGAGCAGTTATTATAACAGTTATCTTCTCTTGTCATTTATATATATAATAGAAAAAAAAAATTATTCCTTCTCGTCGACCTGTTCATCTTTGGAAAATTTTGCACAAGAGATTGCCTACTGATGATGCCCTGAAACGTACGGCTTTTAGCCTTGGTAGTTGTTGTCGTTCTTATAAGGTTCATGAAGAGAATATGGATAATCTTTTTCTTCATTGTCAGTACGTACGTATACCAGATTTTATTGACTACGAATTATTTTCGAGAAGCCAATGGGGTTGCCGACAAGTTGGCTTCTTCTACTTTCTCCAGAGATTGGATGCACTGGTGGTCTTCGGCTCCAAATTTCCTTTCCTCGTGTAATCGGGATCAGACTACACTTCCTTTTTATCTTGTTCGTTATTGACAGATTCATTGCTTTCTTAGAACATATAATCTTCTTCTATTTTTACGGAGAATCTTCTGCGCATTGCTATAATAATGCTATAATTAATCTGTGAATTGAAAATTTAATATTTGAGAGTAAAAAACACACTCCAATGCAATGCTATATATTGTGCCAAATTTTCTTTTCTCGTGTAATCGTAATCAGACAACACTTCCTTTTTATTGTCTTGTTCGTTATTGACAGATTCATTGCTTTCTTAGAACATACAATCTTCTTCTATTTTTTCGGAGCATTTTCAATACAATACTATAATTAATGTGTCAATTGAAAATGTAATATTTGAGAGTAAAAAACACTCTCCAATGCAATGCTATATATTGTGCCAAATTTCCTTTCCTCGTGTAATCAGGATCAGACTACACTTCCCTTTTTATTGTCTTGTTCGTTATTGAGAGATTCATTGCTTTCTTAGATCATACAATCTACTTCCATTTTTCGAAGCATCTCCACTAGTACAATACTATAATTGATATGTCAATTGTAAATTTAATATTTGAGAGTAAAAAACACTATCCAATTTTCGGATAATCTCCAATGTAATGCTATAATTGATGTGTCAATTTTAAATTTAACATTGAGAGTAAAAAACACTTTCCAATGCAATACTATTTGTTGTGTCAAATTTCTTATATGCTATATTTTGTGGCAAATTTCTCACTAAGTATAGCATATGAAAAATTTAGCATTTGGTTGCTATTGGTTGAAATATTTACTTTTTTGTGTAATCATTGCAATATTTACATTTTCTAATTATTTTAAAAATAAAAGTTTACTTTTACAACTTTCAAAGCTTAATGATTACAGAAAAATGTAAATTTAACATTTTAAATAGTATTATTTATTGAAGCAAAAGTGAAAATAACTTACCATGATACTTTTTAATGTTAAATATACAATTAGCATTAACATTTACATTAAAGATGGTCTTAGGATGGTTCCCTTATGTTTGATTTGATGGTTTTTTTTTTTTTTTTCATAATCGAGTAGTTGTAATTTTCATTTATTTCGGATTTTCTTGTAATTATTATTATTTTTTTTTTGGGCTGAAGGCCAGATCCTTTTGTAATTTTCTTTTTCTTTTATATAAAATAAGTTGAGTGGGGAGCTTAGTGTGAGATAGGTTATTTTAGTGGGCGCTAACCTAATTCTGATGTGTTAGAGCGGTGTTAGTTGTTCTCTCTCCTTATTATTTATATATATATAGTATGTCTATATATATAGGTAGCTTTGGTGTTTCCATTTGTCATCGAGTACTCGAAAAATGGCATACTTCATTTTCGCGTACCATCTTCTGGTTGTTTACCTTTCATGCAGTAGGATCTCTCTTTCCTTGGCACAAAATTTGCCGCTGAAAGCAGTGAATCTTGGGAATTGGCTTGTTATAGAGAAGTGGATGAAACCATCCCTCTTTAATGGAATGCCAAACGACGATCTTCTGGTATACACATTTAACTATGAGAAAGCTCTCGTTCCAATTTAAATTATTATTTTTCATAGTACTCAACAATAAATAAATGGGAATCAACCAAAGTTCCCACTTTTATATGTAATTAATTTTGTTTTAAGAAAAACTCCCACCACTTGTAACTCCAATTTTTGTATTCCAATTTATATTAATCTCAATATGGTTGCTATATATTTACTTGATAATCTTTTGAATAACTCCCACTCCTCTAGTTTATTAATTTTTTTATAAGCAAAAATCCCACTTCTCATTACAATTTTTGTATTCCAAGTTATATTAATCTAAATACGGTTCCTACATATTTACTTGATAATCTTTTGGTTAACCCCAACTAATTCTGCAGGATGGGGCTCAAATTCAACTGAAGTCCACAAAGCTGCAGAAATATCTTTGTGCAGAAAATGGGGGTGGATCTATTGTTGTTGCCAATCGAGCCTCGGCGTCTGGCTGGGAAACTTTCAGGGTATAATAGTACCATTTAGTTTCTAACGACATGTTTAATGAAATATTAATTCTTTTTATTAAGAAGAAAATAAAAAAGGCTTACAAAATTAAGACATACATACGTAAAACGAAAAAATAAAAATAGAAGATTTTCTCAATTTAAACCCTTTCTATACTACAAACCTTTAAGTGAGCTAGTAGGATTAATTTTTTTTTTTTTTTTTTTTTTAATTGAGATTGTTGTTCAAAATTTTTCTTTCTTGTCCAAAACATCAAGATCGAACGATTTTAACTAAAAAAATTTTCCCAAGCCGATTTTACTTCTAAGACGTTTGTGCAAATATTGACAATATTGAATGCAGTTGTGGAGGGTCAATGAGAACACTTACAACTTAAGAGTGTTCAACAAGCAGTTTGTGCAAAAAGACAGGGTAACGAGGGTAGTAGCTGTTAACAACGTGCCTGGAGGTTGGGAAACATTTGAGATTGTAAGGAAACCTGATGATAAATATCGAGTTCGCATCAAAGCATCCAATGGTTTATTCGTCCAGGTACTCTATTTTTCATAACTATCTTAGATTTACAGTTACAGTGTGTTTGGTAGGGTGGAAAAGAGAGTAGAAAAAAAAAATACAGGAAGGATTTTGTAAAGAAAAATGGAATTTTAGGTTGTTTGGTAGAGAGAAAATGAGAAAGGAAAGAAAAAAAAATCCATAAGGCCCACTAATTTTTAATCCTTCCAACTTTGAGAAGAAAAGATGAGAGAAAAAGTTTGACAAAAAATAAGATGTAAAATAACAATTTTAAGATTCAACATTCATTATATTTTTATTTGTATTGGGGTATTATTGTAAACTGCTTTAAATTTAACATTTTCTTTTCATTTTTTTTCTCTTCTACCAAACAACGTGAGAGAGAATCATTTTACTTCTTTAACTTAGTTATTTTACTTCTCTTTTCTTTCTCTTCTCTATCTATCCTACCAAACATAGCATTAAACAACTTACAATTTCATGTTGTTCTTACCTCCAATGAAAACTAAAAGAAAAAAAGGGTCTAGCAATAAGCAAAAAACCGAATTTTTGTGAAGTAAACTCCTGTATCTTTCTGAAAGAATAGATATATGTGGTCCGCAGAATCTCAATTATGTTGGTATCTACTATGTACTAGTTACGACGTCCTAATCAAGTCTCCCACTCATATTATTACAAATGAAATTATACAAAATAAAAAGAAATTACAAAAGAGTAGCGAGATTATGGCTTAAGTAGAGCTAAAAAATATAATTGCAATAGCCGATCAATCGATGACTAAACCTTAGGTTACTAATTAAAGCTAATGTTTTCATTCTATTTAATTTTGTTTATTATTAGGTAAAATCAGACACGGAGGTGGCTGCAGATTATGAAGGATATGGATGGGAAGATAGTAATCCATCCGTTTTCATAATGACAGTAAAAACCGACTTGCATGGTGAATATCAACTCACTAATGGTTTTGGTCCGGATAGAGCTCGTCAAGTTTTGCAGGTGATTCTTATACATATTTTTACAAAGTCTTATCTATGTAAAGTATGTGTGAGTAATACCTTTTTTTTTTTTTTTTGAAAGATTTCTTGCGTTATTATTTTTGTTTTTGATGACTCCTTTTCAAATTATATGCAAATAAATATAGATATATGAAGGGCTAATCGTTACCTAAGAAGAAATTTTGAATACAGTTCTGAAACTGATAGATATATATATATATATATATTATATTTAAGTACCCGCAAAGGCGTGTTTTTAAAACATTTGCCGTTTTTATTTTTTACGTTTTTTAAGAAAGAATAAATAATAACGTTTTTAAAACGGCATTTGACACAATAAAGATAAAAAACAGAAATGAAATAATTTTTTTAATTTAGTGTAAAATGAGAGAAATAAAAAATCACTTTTAGTCATTTTTCATTTTTTGTTTTCGTTTTCTCATCTCTCGAGCGAGAGAGAGAAAGAGAGACATTACTGAATTTTTTTAAAAACTGTTTTCAGGGATGTAGCGCAAACCAAAATTTTGAACTAACATTAAAACGCAGTCATTATTTTTAAAGCCTCTCTATATTTTATTTTATTTTATCTATTTTTAGTACTACGGTATACAGTTTAATCCACTTTTTGAAATTTAGTCCTGAAAACATAAGTTACATACATAGTATCATATAAAGTTGGTTTTTTTTTTTCATCGGGGTTTAAGTTGTAATCTAAGTATATATTTAAAAGTATAATCAAAATTGTTTTAAAAATTCAGCGATAGTGCAAGTTAGAAAATTTCAAGTCGGATTTAAATCTTTTTCTTTTTAGGAAAATCTTTTTTTGAGGCAAAACTACGGGATATAAATAGATAGATCGATAGATAGATAGGTAGGTAATATTATTTTTTTCATAAGTTGACATGTGTTTATGGGTTTCTTTTTAAAAAATAAAAATAAAAAATGAAAAGAAGTGTTTTAGATTTTAATCTATCAAAAGTTGACGTGTGTGAAAGCTGTTAATAGGGAGGAATAGAGGTGTTCTAAAAATACATACTTGAAAATTAATTGTATGCTTAACTTACAGGAACACTGGAATAATTTCGTAACTGAACAAGATTTCAGATTCATGTCGGCTAATGGACTGAATGCCGTGAGAATTCCGGTTGGTTGGTGGATTGCGTATGATCCAAACCCACCAAAGCCTTTTGTTGGGGGCTCATTGCAAGCATTAGACAATGCCTTCAATTGGGCACAGTAAGTTGTATATGTCTGTTTAGTTCATTAATTCTCATTTTTAATTTGAATTGAGATATAATTTTATATGAAAATTTTTTATTATAATAAAAAAGTTAAATGTGACTGTTTCTGAGAGTTTTTTACTATAACGAAACTCAAAACTCAAATCGGTGAAATGAACAAGACTAAAATAAATTAGGCCTCGTTCACTTCACCGATTCGAGTTTAGAATTTGAGTTTTGCCACAGTAAAAAGTTCTCAAAAACAGTCACATCTAACTTTTTTGTTACAGTAAAAAATCTTCATATAAAATCACATCTCAATTTAAATTATAAATTCGAATCAGCGAAGTGAACGGACTCTAATTTTAAAGTTATTTTTTTAAATACCCTAAAAATATGTATCCCGTTTTAAAATATTTTTGATTTTTAAAACAATTCAAAACACTTTTGAAATATAAAAAATTGTTCAAAATGTCTCTTCTGTCCAACTCTGTTTATAATGCTTACGGTTTTGCTAACGCGGCACTCATATACAAAAGCTAAATTAAACTCATAAAAAAGATTAATTATCAAAAAATAGTAAACAAATTCAAAATCCAATTATTAAAATAAAATAAAATCTCATTCCCAATTCATTTGCCCTTCATTGCGATTTGTTCACTTCTGCCTCCAGCCATTTCTTCTCCTTCATCGACCAAGGTGAACTTCAATGTAACGAATAAAAGAAACTGTGAGGAAAAAATCGATTTCTTTCCCTTTTTTTTTTGGTTTAATGGAAAAAGGTATTCGAAATTAATGGGAGACGCGAGTAGGCGTTTGTTTTGCAATTTTGCCATATGGCTGTTCCTTTGTTTGGGAAACCCAGGTGATAAATACGCAGGAACTGGACATAATTTAAAAGTAAGAAGCAAGACCAGGTTCATTTAATTTATTAATTTAAATTAATATATAATTTTACGTAAAAAATTTTTATTATAATAAAAAAATACTATAATAGGCTAAATTTACCAAATTACGCAGTGAGAAAAGCTCCATATCATCTTCGTCGATATTCGAAGCAGCCTCGACCATTGTCATTTTCTTCTTTTTAGCCATCTCAGCCGCACCGCCGCCATTCTGACCGGTGAAAACCTTTTTCGTCCCTATCACCGTAGCCGTCGTACGTCTGTATCTGCAAGCTCCATTGTTGTTTCGAGTTCCGCCCACCCTGTCGAACCAGACCCAACCAATTGTCCCATCACAAGCTCAGGCCCTCGAGTTAACATGCTGAGAGGGAGGTGACTGAAGAAGGAATGATCAATTAGCGGCTTAGCGCTCTTTTTTTTTTTTTTGGGGGATTGGGGAATCATAAGGGTTTTCAGGGTCCTTTTTTATTTTTTTAATTTTTTTAATCACGTTTTTTCATTTCTTCAATATTTTTTAATATTTAATTATTTTACATACTTAATTATACTTAATAGCCTTAATTATTTTTAAATGAGTGTCACATCAATAAATTCGTTGAGTATATAAACGGAATTAGACGGAGAGGATATTTTGAATGCTTTTCTATATTTCAAGAGTATTTTGATATGTTTTAAAAAATTAAGGCCACTTTAAAACAAGGCACATATTTTAAGTGAATTTATAAAAACAATCCTAATTAATTAGTACTGGAATTTTGTGTTCTTAAGCTTAGTTTAATCCCTGAATTAAAAATTTTGTTAGTTGATTCCCCTAAAAATAAAAATAAATAATTAAATTTTTCATGAGATTTTCAAGCGGGGTGTATTACGAAACAAGGAAATTCAGATTTCCTTATTTTATCAGAGTTTACGACACGTAATTATGTTGTCTACGAGTCCAAAAATTTATAGCATATCAGGGTGTCAATTGTTAAATCTTTTACTTCAGAAATTGAAGTAACAACGAGAAGAAAAAAGCTCGATACTTTTTTGTCAATGAATTAAGAGTGCCTGTTTTTCAAGTTGAAAAAAAAAAAAAAAAAAAAAAAGGTGAGCTTTTTCAGTTTACAAAGAGGAATGACTTTATTTTCTTAAAAAATTACACAAGTTTTCAGGAATATCATGTACTTCTAAAGATTGACAATGCAAGAGAGACGTGCATATTAATTATCATTAACAAGAGTGTCATATTAATTATTTCATTGGATTTTTGGTACAGAAAATATGGAATGAAGGTAATTATAGATCTTCATGCAGTTCAAGGCTCTCAAAACGGATGGGAACACAGCGGCACAAGGGATGGATATCTTGAATGGGGAGATTCTTACATTTCAGACACCGTGAGAGTCATAGATTTCCTAGCAAAAAGGTTTCATACATATCTTGGCTTTTTTTTTCTTTTTTTTTTACTTTTTTAGAACTTCTAAGCCTCGTTTACTTTGCGGATTTAAATTTTTAATTCGATCTGAGATGTGACATTTTCTGAGAGCTTTTCACTATAGCAGAAAAAGTTAGATTTGACATTTTCTGAGAGCTTTTTATTGTAGAAACTTAAAACTGAAAACTCGAATCGGTGAAATGAACGAGGTTCTAGTCCAGTATTTTGTTGTCTTTCAAAAGAATAAAGCCGAAAATTACCAAAGTGATCCCAAGCAATAAAATACTTCATTATATTTTTGGTGCTACTTTTAATTATTTCATATAAAAAATGAAAATAATGGAGTAGATCTTGAGAAGATCTCTGCTACGCTTCATATTCGTTTCCATTCTTCTTTAGAAGACGAAGAAAAAGTGATGGTAACGCAGTACCTTTAAAATCTTTCTTCTTACATGACCTAACTAGCGATAGACAGGGCCGGCTTAACCTAATTTGAGGCATTAAGCGAGTTTTTAGAGGAGGCTTAATCAAAAAAATATATTTTTGTAGTACAATGCATTGAAATGAAGAAAAAATAAAATAAATAATTTTATATGTCTTCAAAAAATAACAAAAAAATCCATGAAATCCAACATAGGAAAACGAATAGAAAAATTACAACAAAGTCAAAGGAAAATATTACTAAAAATTCGACATTTAAACTCATAAAAGCTTCTCCATTAACAAAAAACACACTTTTCACCAAATAATTAGGAAAACAAGCTGAGATTTCTCCCGTCCATAGAACCTATGTAATATAATAACAAGACATACAAAAAAAAAAACAATAATAATAAAGAACTAGTGAAAAAAAAATTTCTTGCCTTTTGAACTGCAAAGTTGTCTACTAAGATCTCCAATAAATCTTTTTCAATAGACAATATTGCTAATCCACTTAATGGCTTATTTTCTTTTTAAAGAAAATAAAACTTACAGTTATTTTTTTTGAAATCTTTTTCAATAGACAATATTGCTAATTCACTTAATGGCTTTTTTTAAAGAAAATAAAACTTACAGTTATTTTTTTTAATGGAAAAAACTTACTGTTATTGTTACTTGTTTGACATTTTTTCTTAACTTTTTGAAATGACTTTTGTTTTTCTTAATTGACGCTTCAATAAATAGTTACTGTTTCCTTTAAAAAAAAAAAAATACTTCCTGACTTCTGTTTTATATGACTGAGACGTTTAGTATCCTTATATTTCAGGTCATTGAGATCACGGGGTGATTTCCCAAAACATAAAAAGAAAGAAAAAAAAAAAAAACCGTTTGGCTTCTGATATATATTTTTTAAAATCCAGATAATACATAGAGGATATCTAAAATATAGACTAGAAAAAAGAAAAATTAGGGGCATTCTAAAATTAGGGGCCTTAAGCACCGGCTTAACCGGCCTTATGGTTAAGCCGGCACTAGCGATAGATCCACATCTGATTCCAACACAACAATACCCCCATCCTCAAATTCGAAATAATATCTCCTCTCTAATTTCTAACGTGAATTATGTTTGGCAATATGCATGCATGCAGATATGCTTACCATCCGGCTATGATAGCAATTGAGTTGATGAACGAGCCGTGGGTAGATGTCAATCTAGACACCCTAAAAAGGTATTACAAAGAGGGTTATGAAGCTGTGAGGAAGTACACATCAAATGCTTATGTGATTCTGTCAAACCGATTGGGCTGGCCCGTTGATCCAAAGGAACTTTTCTCGTTTGCTAGTGGCCTTCACCGTGTAGTTGTTGACGTGCATTTCTACAATCTCTATGAAGATAAGTTCAGAAACATGAATGCTCAACAGAACATAGATTATATCTACAATAACCGAGCTTCTGATCTTGGAGCTGTGACCACGTCCAATGGCCCTCTCACTTTTGTAGGTAAGTATATTTAGATGAAAATTTTATTGAACACACCTCGTTCACTTCACAGATTCGAGTTTTTAATTCGAACTAAAATGTGATATTTTCTAAAAGCTTTTAACTGTAGTAGAAAAAGTTAGATGTGATATTTTTTTAGAGTTTTTAACTGTAAAAATCTATAACTGAAAATTTGAATCGGTGAAATGAATTAGGCATATATATGCTTTAAGAATTCTAATCCATATTAGCGTACCTAGTTGTAAAGCATTTGAAAAAAAAAAAAAAAAAAAAAAAAAAAACCCGCGAGAGAGAATTGATATTAAAGGCAACTAGCACATTGATAATCTAACGCATAACAATTGTGAAGGACCTATCCTATAAGTAGATAATCAAACGCAAGATTTCAATTAGAAAAATCATGGTTATTCAATTCCTAATCTAATTGGGAACTTGTAAAATAATTCACGTCCGCTTCATATTAATTTATATATGCATACACAATCTTTTAGGGTTAATGTCAATTTGAACACCCTAACTTATATGTTCTTTGTCCTATATTTTGGCCCCCAAACTTAAAAACATTACAATTATTGCGCCATAAACGATCCTTTTTGTCTCATGTTTGACTCCTTCTATCACAAAACCGTTAATAAGTCTATGGAATCATCAATGTAGCACTCAATATTAAAATTAATAACGGTTATTTTAGACAAATCACGCCTAAATAAAAGTTAAAAGCTGATATTTAATAAGAGAAAAGTCTACATCCTTTCTTTACATAATAAGCTCATATTGGCTACCAAAAATGTGAGGGTTAAATTAACTTAAATTTATCTAAAGGGCATGATTGCCTAGATATCTGTAATGTGAGGTTCAAACAATTGATTCCGATGAATTCTTAACGATTTTTTACTGGAGGGCCAACCATGGGACAAGGAGCATAATTTACGTTACAATTTTTAACGTTTTGAAGTTAAGGGGTCAAAATAAGATAAAGAACATAATTCAAGAGAAAAAGTGAAATTAACACTTTTTTTTTATTAATATGTATGCATATATATATATATATATATGCATATCCAAGTATATACTCAGACTCATGATTAGAAGGACAAACATGCCCAAAATTAGAAAATAAAAAATAAAATTTAATAAAATATCAACTAGATTTATTAGCATTCAATTGTGTTCCTGAAAACGAATTATACAAAACTTGTATGAACTTCAGGGGAATGGAGTGGAGATTGGTACGCAAAGCAAGAAATAGATGAAGACCGAAAAAGATTTATAAAATCTCAGTTGGAAGTTTACGGACGTGCCACTTTTGGATGGGCGTATTGGTCGTACAGGCATGACAGCACGCCAATATGGAACCTCAAAGGGTTGATTGAAAATCACTTTATCAACCTCTAAATTCCTATTAATTAATAATTATATGCTAATTTGAATCTTTGTTCACTGTTAATAGTGCTGGTCAGTTATGGCCATCGTCGTGTGTACCAGAAGTTTAACTTCTTGTAATTATTATTAAATAAAAGAACAGAGATACAAGCGAGGATGCATACTTATAATATCTTTTTGCGACGCATCCGTACGTAAAATGATACTTTAATTTTGCTTGGATGTTTAAAACTAAGTAGTCATCGGAGTTAAAGTAGTTCTTAATTAATTGATACATCTAAATTAAGAACGTGTTAAGATAATCAAACCAAAAGAATCACGCTAGTTAATTATTTGAACAACGTGTAGAAAATATGGTATGAAGGTAATTATAGATCTTCATGCGGTTGAAGGATCTCAAAATGGCAATGATCATAGCGGGATGGAGATGGATATCGGGAATGGGCATCCTACATACTGGATACTGTGGCAGTCATAGATTTATTGGCGAAAAGGGTTTAATATAATTAATTCTTACATTTAATTTTTAGAAAGATCGTATGAGATTTATGTTATATAAATTAGAAGGAACTTTTATAATAGAACATATCTTATTTAACCATCGACAGAAGTAATTGGATTAAATTTTTAACCGTTTGATTTATGATTGGAGCAGTGTTGTGTCACACTACCATTATAATAAGATCTTCATGACCTAAAGTCACCTAAACTAAACTTATCGTCAGGTGTCGGTATGCTAACAATCCAAGCATTATAGCAGTTGAGTTTATTAACGAGCCTTGGGCACCAGAAATCAATCTTAGACTCCCTAAAAAAAAGTATTGCAAAGAGGGCTGACTTATGATCACACGGTAAGGAAGTACATATGATGCTTATGTGATTCTATCAAACCGATTGGGTCCCACAAAATCCAAAGGAGCTTCTCTCGTTTGCTAGTGGTCTCAATAGAGTAGGGATTGATGTGCATCAACGAGCTTATATGTTGATTGATGTGCACCAACGGTCTCAATAGAGTAGTGTGTTTTATGAATCCGCAAGTGCACATAATCATAACAAGTTTTGATATAATGATAAGAAAAGTATCATTTTCACAAAAGTTGTGTTAATTTTAGGTTAAGTATTGAAACTGAATCAACCATAGGATTATTCAAAATGACAAAAATAAACAAATAAATAAATATGACAAATTTAAAACTAAACAAACACTAAACGAAGATTACAAAGTCAAGAGCAAAAACCCTAGTCATCTTTAACAGAGAGGAACGAGAGCGAGAGAAAAGAAGTTTGAGTATTGGCTGGAGTTTCGGCACTGTCTCCGAGTGCATCGCTAGACTCCCGGCCATGAAAATCGGTCTCCGAGCTCATCTTGTCGAGGGTTCTTCAATGGTGGTGGCGGTGTGTCATGGGGTGGCTTGGTTAAGGTGGATCAAGCTTCATTTGGAGTTGAAAATTGGATGTTTGGGAGGCGTTTTCCAACACCGTCGATGTTGGGTGGCTGGGTCCTTGCAGAGGTTCTATCCTGGCAGTGGGGGGCTTCTTTTGGCGGGGGTAGCGTTGTCTCCGGTTGTTGGCGGCAATGGCGAAGGTGAATCATTCGCTGCGGCCTGCATGATTTCTTTTAGCTTTTTGACCGCTGCAGTCTGCTCTTGTAACCTGGGGCCTTCTTTATCATTTTACTTAGAGGACTCGTGTACTGCAAAAGATTCTATACGAAGTCTCTTAAGTAATTTAATATTCTTAGAAACTGTTGGATTTCAGTTTTCGTGAGGTTTTCATGTGGAAACTTTAGCAGTTCTTGGGTTATGTATGGATGGGCTTCATATTGACCATCAAATAGCTTCAGATAATCTTCGCAAATACAGTCAAAATTACTCTTATTAATTATAATTTTTTTAATCAAATAATTAAATTAATAAAAATATATTTATCAAGAGCAAAGATAAAGGTCTTGACTACTACATTATAGTAAATTCTCAATTTTTTTGATAGGTTCATTCCTGAAAACTCTATCTTGGATTGTCTCAGCAAATTGGGCTAGGAGTTGGTTATGGGCTTCTATTGTTGGTGAGAACAGTAGTATAATCAGATAATCTTTACAAATATTATTTTAAAGTGTATACGTTAGAATTTTTACTTTTTACTTTTAACTTATAATATTTTTAGTTAAATAATTACATTAATAAAAAGGTATTTATCAAAATTAAGAGATAAAAGTCCAAACTTATATAGTCTTAAGGATAAATTTTTCATTTTTTCATGTAAATCAAAAATTGGGTAGGGATTGGGCCGTATATTTTTTTGTATTTACTTTTTGGAATAAAGAAATGGAAAATAGTAGGAAATATGCCAATATGAAAAGCTTAAGAAAGTATATAGGCCATTTTTTAGTTATAGAAATTAATAGGCCATAACTTATCAAGTTATGGTTCATAACTAGATAAGTTATGGATAATAACTTGTCAAGTTATAGTTCATAACCAGACAAGTTATGGACGAAAATAGTAATTTAGCCTATTTATTAACTTATATAAACTATTAGCCTATTAATTTTAATTCATCTTAAATCTTGGCCTATTTTCCTATTTCCTCCTAAAGAAATAGCTGTTTTAAGCTCAAATGGCATAGCAGTTCATTGAAAATGTTAATTTGGGTTGCAAATGGCTGTTTTGGGCCTATCCTCAAAGGCTCAATAAAGCCGGAGCTGCTGCCCAAAGGAAGTACTAATGTCTAATGAAACCACTAAAGACGCTTCCCAGCCAATGGGGCAAATCAAACCATTGACTCTTCGTCACCTGAAAATTAAAAAATAAAAAAATAAATAATCCGTTTAATTTATTAATTTAAATTTTTAATATGAATTGATGTGTGATTTTATGTGAAATTTTTTTAGTATAATAAAAAAATTAAATTTGACTATTTTTGAAACTTTTTACTGTAACAGAACTCAAATTTTAAATTTAAATTGATAAAATAAACGGACTTTAAAAAATGACTTCCCGTGCGGGTCTGGATCTTATCTTTGGTTTATATGTCGTATGATGGACTTACATGGACTTGGCACGTAATGTAAATTCATGTTCGTAATGTACTTTCATGTAATTAGCAATTACTCGTAAAAAGGAAATATGTTTTAGTCAATAGAAAAGAAGTGTGGACAAATGAAATTTGTTTCCTTTCAAGACACGCTTTGTGTTGGGACTTTTCAGGTTTATTTTATTGAAAATTTCAGCCTTTTCAGGTAAATAGGAAAAAAAAACCCCTTCTTAAGATGGACACGATAAAATTAATAAATTTAGTCCGTTTGTTTACTAATTCAAATTTTATTGATTTAAATTTTTTTATTTGAATAAAAAAATTTAAACTGTATCGTTAAAATTTTAATTTAAATAAGTAATAAAATAAGTTTGTGTTTAGTAGGTGTGAAGAGTAAAGAGAGTGGACACTTTTTTACTGTTTAAATTAGTTTAAACTGTTAAATTTTAAAGAAGAATTAAACTCTAAATTTGATAATTTATCAGTTCACACAAAAATATAATTTAAACTGTTATACTCACGGTTTAAATTAAATTAAACTGAACTAAATTAATAAAACAACCAAAAATTACACTTTGAAAAACAATGATATAAGTTTTCTCAATGTAACATATATATACACATATATACATATATATATATATATATATATGCTTCTTCTAGCATCATATTGTATTAGCACGAGTGTGAGTGTGGTCCACAATTAGGAGCCATAACCAGTACACCGCATAGGAAAAAAAGAAAAAAGCAAATAGCATTAAATTGTCCTTACTTTATTTTCACTTTTCATTTCTTTTAACTAAAGCCACCGGTTGACGGCATGAACTTTTTTCTTTTTTTTTAACTCAAGTCAATGGACTATAAATTTTGCGATTATTTCGGGCTTGTTCACTTTACAGATTAAAATTTTTAATTTAAGTTGAGATGTAACATTTTTAGAGAGTTTTTTTATTGTAATAAAAAAAATTAGATGTGACATTTTTTAAGAATTTTTTACTGTAAAAATTTAAAACTGAAAACTCAAATCAGTGAAATGAACGATGCCTTCGTTTATTAATCGCCAATATCGTACAAAAACTTGAGAACCATACATGATCTTTCACCGATTTCTCACAGAGATTGAAAAATGGCGTTCAACTCTTTCGCTTATCATCTTCTAGTTCTCTACTTCTTCTTTTCCTTCTCCTTAGTTTCCCCCGCACAAATCTCAAACTTCAAGTTGCCATTAAAAGCAGTGAATCTTGGGAATTGGCTTGTTATAGAGCGTTGGATGAAACCTTCCCTCTTTGATGAAATACCCAACAATGAGCTTCTATGTTACTATGTAATTAACAGTCATAATATCATTTGGAAATTATATAATTAACTAACAAAATTAATCTTATCATTACGAGCTATAATGTTGAGCTTTTTTTTTTTTTCTGTTAATTACGGTCTTAACAGGATGGAACTCAAATTCAATTGAAGTCCACGAAGTTTCAGAAGTATCTCACTGCGGAAAATGGGGGTGGAGCTTCTGTTGTGGCCAATCGGGACTCTGCCTCTGGTTGGGAAACTTTTAAGGTACAATATTACTGTTATCATTTTACTAATTTTTAATTGGATAGTAACAGTACTTTTTGTCAGAACATATTATTTTTTAGGGTTGATATTTTTAGAGTTTATTCTCAATTTTATTTTAATTCTTAACTTTTATGATGTATCATAGTTGGTTCTTCATGTTTTAATGGTCCTCATATTAGTTAAGTGTTAAAATATGTAACTGAATTTGTAGAAATTTAAAACTAAAATTGAAAACATTTAAAGTTTAGAAATTAAAATTAACAGTATAAAAAATAAAAGTTAATTTCAACAAATAGTGCTTTAAGTTTTAGCTATTTTTAATTTTGATCCATAATTTACAAAGATATTGTCAAATATTTAATACCTAGCAAATACACGAACTGAAACTGAAACTAAAACAAAGTAATAGATTCGGGACTAATTATAGGACATTTTAAAAGTCAAAGACTAAAGTGTGATTATGGGTAAAATTTAGGGACCATTTACATAATTAACACTTATTGTTACGTATATACATATTTCTAGCAAATACATACATACATACGTACATCTATGACCCTAAAGTTTAGAGTTATTTGCACTACTCCATTACTTTAAAATCCTCAATCTACCCTTGAATTTTCAATTAGTATTACTTAACTGATTCTATTATAATTTTTTTAATAAAAAAAAGAGAAGAATTAGTCTCATTTATGTACGTTGAAAACGAAGTGAAAAAGACCAGATGGCTTCACTTGCTCATCTCATTTTCTATTTGTTCTCAATATAAATTCTTCTAGATCTAGTGGACTTTTAAAATTCAGTGAGCAAAATATGAGTTTTCAAAAGTCAAAAGACAAAATGTAAATGACCATTAAATTGAAGTGCGTAGTTTAAAATAATTCATTTAATATATATTTATATATATATATGAGCGGTGCCCACATATTTCTTTATTTCTGTTTTTTTTATTTACTAAATAATAAATTAAAATATTTTAAATATTATAATTTTTTAATTAATATGATATTTTAATTGACGTAACATGATATTATTAGAAAAACTTAAAAAGGAGACATGAATAGAGAAGCAAGAGTCGATCATATATGTGTGGTCATCTGATCCAATTTAACTTGGTATAAATATGTATGATTCAGTTACGGAGGATTGATGAGAATACTTTCAATTTGAGAGTGTTCAAAAAACAGTTCCTCAATAAAGACCCAGATACCAGGATTGTTGCTATTTCCAATGCGGGTGAAAATTTGGAGCCATTTCAGATACTTAAACAAAATGGTTCCCGAAGACAAGTTGGCAACAACATAGAATATCGAGTTCGCATCGAAGCGCCCAATGGTTTATTCCTCCAGGTACTTTAATTGTCCTTGCTTATTTCATTTTGGTAAATATTATGGATACGGGGAAAGATACATATTCTTCGGTCCGTTTAACTCATGCGTTTATATCAATAATTCTAATTCATTAATGAAAATTTTATAAAAGAAGAAATTTTTTAATTCAAATTATTTGTGAGATAAAAATCTTTAGTTTAGTCATAAGTTTTACTTGGATTTTACATTAAACTGGTTGCATCCAGTTCAGAAACTAAAAACATTTTAACTGTCGTTTTTTTTTTTTTCCTTCGATTAGGTAAAATCGGACACAGAGGTAACCGCAGATTATGCAGGCTCGAGATGGGAAGACGAAAATCCATCCGTTTTCATAATGACAATTTTAAGTGACAAGAACCTAGGTGGAGAATACCAACTCACGAATGGTTATGGCCCAACTAGAGCCCCTCAAGTGTTGCAGGTAAAATAATAGATCTTGATGCTAGTTGTGATCATTTCTTCCTTGACTGAAAAAGAAAAACAAAATGGAAAAAAAAAAAGTATTGAGAAAAAATAATATCTTCCTTAAAAAGTAAAAACCAATCTTGTCTAATCTAATATAAAGGAGGCTTGAAAGTTCCTATCCAGGACCACCGGAACAGTTATATCACTGAGCAAGATTTCAGCTTCCTGTTATCTAAGGGATTAAATGCAGTGAGAATTCCAGTTGGTTGGTGGATAATTTATGACTCACCACCAAAGCCTTTTGTTGGGGGATCCTTGCAAGCTTTAGACAACGCTTTCACTTGGGCACAGTAAGTATTGTATAGCCACAAATTGTAAAGAGGGTCATGGCATTATAATAGAAAGGAGAACTCTGTGTAGAATATATGAATGTATATGAAACAATATTCCTGGTGACTTGGTTTTTACCTTGCACATCTTCATCTGAGTTCTCTTTAAATTATATATCATGCTTTTCTTTATGATCATGATTAATTTGAAGGTTCAAAATTTTGTGATAGCGCTATTGTTCTCTGGATTAATTTCTTAAATATATACCTTAGTTCAACAGGGTTCATTTCAACCCCGCGTCTATAATATGACGTGACACTACTTGTAATTTCATGAATGCCTCGTGAAATAGACTTTAAGTCGGTGTTTCTCCTAAACTATTGATTTAATTTGCCCCTTGATTTCTTAAAATATTGGAGGCATTTATGACATTTGCATCAGTTCATGGGATACTTTGAATGACTTTACATAGTTTAGGAAGTGAATGAACCCTTTTTAAAATTTTAAGGGCGCATTGAATTAGAGTACATAGTTCAAGAGCATCTATAAAATTAATCTTTTTTTTAATACCTGCTACAAACTTCCTCCTAAATTAATTCCTAATAATAACTGTGACGACCCTCCTTTGAGGCCGCCACTGTTACTAACTTTTTAACTTGTACTTACTGGGGTTTCTTAAAATATGCGGAACATTTTTTTTTTTTTTATATAAGAAGGAATACTTTCATAATTTGTAACAATAATTTCAAATAAGTGAATCACTAAATTTCTTAAAGCTTTTCTTAATTTTAGTTAAGATAAAACCTTTTAGGAATATCCTTCAAATGGAATAGCATTTGAACTCTTGTTTTAAATACTCTTTAAAAGCTTTTCTAAAACTAGTCATTTCAATCGGCCATCTCATTTGACTTTAAAACGGATTTCGTGAGAAATCTTAAATTCAAGTACATCTTAAAGTCCTTCTAAAATTACTCATTTAAATCGTCATGTTTAAAATTCATTTATTTGTTGCATGTACTGTTGCAACGTTCTAAAACTTAAATACTCAAAACTAGGGTTGTTAGTTACAACCTTGGTTTTCTTAACATACATATGTACGTATACTTTTTAAACATACATACTTGAAACTTTTGAATCATATAGACATATACATGATTTTTCTTAAACTTACTGCGGAAAATAACTGCGTGAGCGGAATCCATTCTCATCTCCACCATTCATCCGCCGCTCGCCATTGCCCTTCAAGAATTGCTGATAGGTTTCTTACCTACAGCATGAACATATATGATTGAGCTTTCGCTCAGCAAGTAGGAACTATATCTCACAAAATAACTGTAAGTACACATGAATAAATATGCATGAGCTGATTATGCTTAATTATGATATCTTATCATAGTCTTATTATCTTATCTTATATTTCCTACTGATGGGCCCGAGTGCTCGCGTACCACTTGCGCGCAATCATCGGAAC